ATTTTTAGATTCCTCTTCTTGCAAGTAAAAGCACTGAGAATTCAGGGTCTTTTTTCTTTAAATAAACATTTAAGTTGATATACTGCCTTCTGCCAAAACCATTTTTATTCACCCAAGGCAGTGGTCACATTTCCATCTCACTTGTGCATTTCTTGGTTATCTTACTGTGACTAGATTTAATACTTATTGGCAAGCTTTGTTAAAACCTGTCTTTACTACTTTGAAATTGAGTAAATTTAAAGAATGAATTACTGAGTGAAACCTTTTAAAAGGAGCAGACAGTAGCATTTTAGTTCCACTTTTCACCACTGAACTCCTAGCTTAAAACCTCACAGGTTACAACATAAAAATGTCTCCCAGAGCTTAAGTCAAACTGTTTCACAAAGTCCCACTTGAAAGCTTAACCTATGTTCCCTACTCAAAAAACCCAGAGGGACTTAGAAATATAACTTGCTTGCAACTGAGTATCACCCTTCAAACTTGATTCTATGATTTAATATGGAACACCTTTGAATTGTTTAAAACTTCTAAATTTCTCTTTACTGTTTCTCCTTCATGCCTGGCTTGATGAGGCAGTCAGCATCAGGTAAGAAAGTTTATTTTAAGGTTCAAGGATCTGATTGTTAGCCTTTTTTCAGCTCTTCTGTATTTGTGGAAGTACACTGTTACCTGTTAAGAGTATGTACAGTTTTTTCATATGTTGCCCAGTAGACACAACAGTTTGTCTTTCAAATGCTGAATTCTTTAGACACAAGAAGATATATAAATGTGCACGTTATTAAAATTTTGTTATTGATTCAGCTGGCTTTTGAAGGGATAATGATGACATATATTTTGATCACATAATGTTATTAACCCTTTGAAATGTCCTAAAGACCTTGTGAATGTGTTGTAGTAAAAACTAACTGGGTTGAAGTTGCAGTCATCTAGACAATATGACCTGGATTTGAGAATTAAAAGCAAAACACATGGGGTTTACCAGACCTGGTTTTTTATTGGTTGTTGTTTTTCTTTTTTTTTTTTTCTTTAGAGATCAGATTTGAGATTCTTGCAAACTGAAGCAGTAAAAAACAGGTTCCTTTAAATGTTACTTGTTGGAGTGACAGAGATCAAGTTCCCTTCACATGAAGGAAGGTCAGACCCAAAACTGAAAGCCTTTAACCAATATCGACTGTATAAAAGAGAAGAGAAACTAAGAGACCCTGGGGTGCAGGTCCACACTTTGCTCAACATGGCTGTAGTTCCTTCAGGGATAGGTATAGAGTAGAACTAGGCTGTGGGGGGAGTGTTTGGGTTGGATCCACACATCCTGCATTCCAAGCTCTTAGCTGGAATTCCCCATTGTCTCAGTATGCTTGGCTAGATGAATGGCAAGATCTTCGCCTAATGCTTTCATTCCTACCTTAAACTCTTTTCCCATGTTAAATAAGACACTGACAACAAGAATCTCAAGTCTGTCTTAAAAAGCTGGCAAATTAGTTTCGGTGTGGATAAGCTGGTTGTTCTCCTGTTGCAAAATCTAAGCCATACCTACACAATGGCAAACATAGAATTGGTAGTTACAAATCAGGAAAGATGTTTTCAGTTGATATTGAGTCCTCTGACACTGGCTTAGCACGCAGCACCAGCCAAACCAGACAAAGTAACATTGGGCATTAACAGGAAGTATATTAAAAACCATATAAAGGGAGTTACATTGCCATTTGGCATCTGGATGGATGTAGAGAATTTAAAGAAGGTCTGTAGGAAAGTTAAAGGGAACTGAATGATGGTTGTCTTGATTAACACCTGTTTATGAGAAGCTACAGTGGATTGGGAGGCATCTGTTCTAGAGAGAAAACTGAAGAAGGTACTATGATTAAAGTTTCAGAATAATGACCACAGAACTGCTTTTCACCATTTGTTCCTGCATTATTAGAATCTGGGGTCACTTACTAAAATAAGTAGATTAATTTAAAACAAATAAAAGGATTTCTGGAATTTGCTGCCACAGGAGATGTGGAGGTGGACAGCAAATTTATGATCAGTCAGGGACAGCTGATCTATGAATGTATGCCAGAGCAGCTAGAAAGGGATTTCACTCCTATTTGCTACAGCAGCTTCTGGCAAGTGAATGGAGGCTTGGTAATATGAACATCCTGCTGTCACTGTTGGAGACACCATATTGGGCTGATGGACCATTGCCCTGAACCAATAGTACAGTAAAGTTCCTCCCTTGAAAAAAGATACTGCTTTTTCTTTTAGAAGTGTAGAGCCTCACTTGCTAGACTGTAAAATTATATGAGAGTGCAAAACTTAATTTCAGGAAACTTCAATTGTAGAGCTTTATGCTGCATTATCCGCTTGTGTTGAATTGCATTGGAGTGCAGGCTGTCTGCAAATTGTTTCAAATACTCTGAGAAGCCATACAAAGCATTCCTGTTGCAGTAAAAATTCCAAATAATCAAGCTCCTTCAGAAATGCTCCTGAACAAATGTTAGGTTGAAGGGGCCCTGAACAATTTTCAGCTATGACATACACTTGTCCCTGTCAGTGCAGCCTAGCATGCTGTTACCTTCCTCGCTGCCCAGGGGTGGTGTGGGTTTGAGTTAGCCTTCCTTGTGGCAGGATCCCATTGTCCTCTTAACAGTGCTGCTCTCCAGCCTGCTGATCCTTGTAATACAAGCAAGGTCCATGCCACAGTATTCTGGCTGAGGTGGCCATTTCTGGAGCAGACAAATTCTGGAGCTCTGTGACCATTGATAAATGTGTAGTGTGTATTCTCTGCAGCGTGTTATGTTTCTTCACAGCGGTCTGTTTCCCTTACATACGAGGAGTGCTTAAGGAAAAAAGGCAGCCAAGTGTAAAGCTGCAGATCAAAAGTGTTTCTGGAAAGTCAGAGATTTGTTATTCTAACAAAAGGATGCACAAAGATAACACAGTGTTTTCTGAGCCTCCCTTTAGGAACTGGCAAAGGCTGTGTCTATTCATGATTATCTTCACCACCAGCATTTTCCACAGACTCCCATTTGGAACAGTTGCTGCCTAAACTGTGAAACCATGATTTTGTCATGTTACCTAAATAACTTCATCTAAAGGTATCATGTTTAAGTCTTCACAAAAACAGTTGAGGTCATTGGCTTGGCTGAGTGTTCCAAACAACTAACATTGAGTATCAGCTTTATAATTTCAGGTGAACCAAGGGCTTAACTGTAGAGACCTAAAAGCATATAATTTCTTTCTCTAATATGAAGTTCATAGTCTCTTGTACAGCAGTTCTTTTTTTTCCTGTGGTAAGGGTGGAGAGAAATTGTTGGGTTTCTGTGTTTTATTTTCCTAGTGACTAAAATTGATAGCTGTTTTGGAAAATTCATGTGGTAGCTAATCTGATCATATTGCAGGATATTTTCAGGAATAATATTTCTAAATAACACAAGAATTTCTGTACCAGGCTTTCTGCATCTAGATATATAAGCTAGTAAAAATTATCTATTCCAGATATATTTATATGTGATATAAGCTGGTTTTGCTTGCATCATGAGTTATGCTGTACAAGTGTGGAGCTCTGTTTTTCTTGTCTTTATACAAAGTCCTCATGAAACAGCAGCAGCCTATGTGTATGTGAAGAAAATGCAAAAAACTAATGTTAGTATGCACAGTAACCACAAAGGTTTAGATCTACATCATGTTCCCGTATTCCTAACAGGGATTTTTTTACTATAACATCAAAAGTTGGAGTTTTTACGTGCTAACATGCAATTTCATGGCTTCTAGCATGATTGTGACTCTTGTGATCTTTTTTCAACTCCTTTTTTATTCTCATCATCTGCACAAGCTCATGGTAAGTACAGAGATGCCTTCTTCCCCAAACAGACAGGTAAAAATCTCCTATTGGTGTCAATACCAAGGACATACAAGCACTTCTTACTTATCAAAGTGAATATTGCCTCAGATTTCTGAAACATCAAACAGATTTTGGTAAAGAAATACTTCAGCATTTTATTCCTTCTATTCTCCAGGTCTCTTACTGTAAAAAGCCGCTTCCAAATTAGCACTAGGTGCATCTTTTAAGCTTTTAGAGTGACATCAGGAAGGCTCTATAATCCATTTTTAATATTTATCTGCATCCTCAGGATTTTTTTAGCTTAATATCTGACTGTGAAACTGATCCTGAGGTATCTTCTACTAAAAGCTAACAAAAATTAAATTCTAGATCAAACAAACCAAAACACCACTAAAACAATCAACCTCCAGAATGTCTTCCATGAGTTGCAGTTATTTTTCATTGAATTAATATGAGACTTGCCAAACTTTAGTGCTTTGGGTCTTAGTTTTGAATAGTTTGAATGCATGGTTGAAATTGTCTATCACTCTGCAGCACATTGAATTAAAATATCTGTCTGTGGTCAGGTAACAATTTCTGTCCTGTTTGACATTCTCTTAAAATTGCAACTACAATCTCTTTATGCTGTACAGAGATGTTTCTCTCATACTATTTGATGTGAAATCTCATAGGATCTGAATTAGATAATTAAGATACTCAGTGTTACAATGTAGACTGAACTAAACATCCTCTTGGGGATTTTTTTCTGTGACTCTGAGAAGCTGGCAATATTTACTTGGGAGCCTGTTCATTGAAGGGGGTGCTTTCTCAAGTAAGAAATCAGGCAATATGAGAAAGAATGGAGCTATAAAGTAAAATGTTAAGGCCAAAAGTGCTGTTGAAACAAATAGGCCACTCTAGAAGACAGAAGCCATCCTTGTGGGGATATTAAAGATGCAGTAAAAGCAGAATCTCTCATTACTGATTCTAGGTACCTTGATTATTAAGCCTTAGAACTGAAATACTTGAAGTGATCATCAAAGGTGCTACTTTCTGGTCTTTCATTTTATCCACTAAGAGTTCAATGAGGCATTTCTTGATAATACAGTTGGTTTTTTCATTTGGTTTTTGTTGTTTGGGTTTTTTATTGCTGGACTCTTGAGCTGTGATTAACTGTCAACTTCACTTTTTCTAACAGATCAAATGTCTAAAAGGCCAGAGAAGCTTCTCAGACCAACCCACTTTTGATGGGATTCACATTGTCAACCATTTCACCGGAGATGATGAATCATTTCATTCTTCTGATGAAGATTTTCTAACTAACTCCATACAGGAGAGTGGGGTGAACTTTCATCTTCCCAGGAGGACTGGTCAGATGTCTTTGGATCACACACTTGTAGACAGCAGTGACAGTGATACTGAGGAAAGTGTCCTTCAGACTGGGAATTCAGACAAGATGGTTTCCAAGCAGAGAAGAACAGAATCTTACTCTACTACTGTGTGATTATCACTGTGACTAGCACTGAAGACTTCCATATTTCTTTAAGGCTGAAAGTTTGAGGGAACTGAAACCATCCAGCAGTTGGTTTAAGTAACTATTGGATTGGTCTGGCCTGTGATAAATATATACAAGTACTGTCTATCTGCCTTCTCTCTTTGCCAAATCTTGCTAATGACATACCATTGCCATAAAACAGGCTGGGAAGAAGTTGATGGATGACAGTTTTGACAGTATTACTGAATGTTCTTTGGTTTAGAAACTGCAAATATATAATTTCTTTAATGTGTAAGAAGCAGTTTTGCTGTTCACAAACACAGGAATTATTTTCCTCAAAAGAAATTGCTTTTGTGCAATATTTTATGCTCTGAACAAATGTGTATGTTTTACATTGTTATCCTTTTGTGATCAAGATGGACCCTAGTAAACCATCTGATCATGACACACATATATATATAATTATCTTATGCTTCTCAATTAGTTTTGGTTTTTTACTAAAGTTATTGGATGCCCACAGAAGGCTTGAAAGGCAAGCCTTTATCTGTACTACTTCATATATGCAAATAATGGTCACTAATGTCATAAAGGTGTTTTTCACCGTTTTCACTTAAATCTATGTGCATCTGCTTTTGATGTTGCTAAATAATAAATGGTCTGAATATGTTAATTACAATAATGTTTATTTTGTACATATTTATGTATCTACACCAAGCTGAAACTGTACATTACTCCATTTTATATGAGGAATGTAAATGTTGCGATATTACTGTCTCTGGTATTCTAACAGGAAAATGAATTCTGTATATACACACTAAAAGTGAATTACTAAATAAAGGCAAAACACTAACTTTGCATTAAGTTTCAGCCTAGCTACACTAACAGGCTCATGTCAGAAATGCTTGTTCAAAACACTATTGACTGAAATCTTTTACCTTCATGTATATGTAATGAAAATAAATTTTTCATGATTTAACAAGGTTGCAGCATTTACTGTTTAGTCCCGTCCACTTGGTTACCACATAGTTACTTGCATAGGCTCTAGCTAGGTTCAAATAAGGTGAAGAATTATTCATGTCTTAGTTTTAATAAATACACAGAGCAGTGCACATAGGTTCAGTCCTCTTAGAGTTTATATTACAGAGCTATTTAGGAAATAAACAATTGGTGCCACCACCAAATAGCTGTGATTGAGCAGAGCAGTAAGAGCTGAGCAATCTGCTTCCAGGCTCTGGAAAACTGAGATCTGGTCAAACAGCCTGAGCTTCTCAAACAGAACAAGATATCCTACTGTTGTCATATGAACAGTTATGTGCACTTGCAGACACATTCTAGAGTCAAGAATGTTCTGTTATTGCCGTCTTATGTAATGAGGCAATCTTAAAGACTTCTTTTAGAAATGTTTACAACTGTTCTATTAAATAAAAAGTAGTGATGCAGAAGTTTGGTACTGATAAGCAGTGTGTATGTTAACTGGCTTGCTACCTACAAGAAGCAGTGTAGTTGTTTAAAATTGCAAAAAAAGTGTGGAAGTGTTCTGCTGAATGTATCTGCTGGTCCCATTAGGCATTTCCCTTTATTTTGAATGTGTTTTAAGAAAGAAACAGCACGATTAGGAGATAACAAATGCTCAAAGAATGATAAGGACTGTATGGAAACAGCATATTATGGGCATCTCAACAATATTTATAACTATCTGCCTAGGTGCAATCTAATTTAAATCTTTAAGCATGTAGGTGACAAATTCCCAATTACTGATTTCTGCAGCTCCTAACTTGTTTCAGTATTTCTGCCAAATTTCCACATATCCTACCAGTGGATATGTACCTCCAAGTACAGCCTGTAGAAATTGCCACCTCTGACTTGGATTAGCTGAGTGATTCTTATTCCTGTTGAAAATGTCATGTATGCAAAGCCAAATCAGGAGCACTCTGTTCACAAATGAGTAACAGTTGTCTTTTTTCCTTCCAATGAGCATCTGCTAACTGATGTTTGCACCTGGATCATTGTTGCCCAAGAGGATAGGTGACAAATGTCTTGTTGCCTGTCATCAGTACCAGCTGCAAGCCTCTCTTAAAGGTAATGTTCTGTAATAAGTGGCAGGAGTAAAATTCAGTTGGAGGGCCATAAAAACTCTGTCTGTTTGAATAGTGAAGTGTTATGATTTTGCAATAACTGCCTTACGGTTCAAGTGATAGCAAATGAGATTAGATGGCAAGGGTTATTTCCTGAACTTTTGTGGTTTTAAATATACAAATAGAATAAATACTGATACTGAATAATTGCATGAATAAAAATCTGCAGAAGTCCTTATCCAACTGACTACATCTCTTCTAGTGATAAAAGTGAATCACTGAACACGCTGCAGTTTCAGACTTGGTTATACACAGACTATCCTAGAAAGGCAGCCCAGGATAGGTTCTTCAGAATCATTCTGCTTTTTCTCCAAGTCTTCTGGCAGACAAATGACACTAATCTCTTTGCCTATGTATATTACAATTTGAATATACATCAGAATAATGACAAATCATTACCATAATAGACAATATATATAATGACGTGTCAACAAATAAAACATGCTAATTATGCTACACACTATGACCTTTCTTTCATTACCTTCTAACAAACATCGCTATTTGCTTAGATTTGCTCTTGCATGCAGACTGGAAAAGCTCAATATGAATAGTAAAAGCATAAGGTGAAAAAGCATGTAAACTCTTTGAATTGCGTAGTACTGCACAAGTGACCGAAATTTCTGGTGCCCCACTATGAAAACTAGAATTCCTATGAGAACATTTTGCACAGTCTATGTTCTGTAACTATTGATTCAACTGTTTTCTGTTCACTGTTGGAGGTACATTCTGGGTCCTCCACTCCTTCCCAAAGCTGGAATCCCTCTTTTCATCCTAGCCTTCAACACCACAGCCTACCATCACTTTCTCCAGTTTGTGTTCACAGTGATCATTTTCTAATCTGCTCTGGGAGCAGCAGAAGTTTCTTTGGTTTCTCCAGCAATCAAAAAAATTGCAATCAAAATCACTGATTAATTTCTGACATATTTACAGCACGTGTTTATGCCACAAGGAGGACCACAGAGAAGGCAGTGATAAGATGTTGGGGGAAAAAAAAAACAAGCAAGGTTTTACAAAGGTAAAGACACACTTCCCAACGGAATGCACAGCGCTACAAGTTCTAGCAGCTTTTCATAGTGGAAGTGTTCTGCATAACTGTGATCCCAAGTTTTATCACGTTAAAGTGGGTATAAATTCCCCACAGCATCATCCTTTTTGCTGCCTTCTCCCGGTCCTGACTCCCCCATACAGGAAACCACTTCTCCTCCCCTCTGTACCAAGCAGCTAACCTGTCAAATCCTGTTCTTCAAATCCTTCCTCCTGTTGCAAAGTGTCTCATCACTTCTGAAAGCAAATATCTCACCTCCAGCTTGACACCTTTTGTGCCTTATCTGATGTTTTAGCTCTAATGCCGACACCAGGCACCTGCTGTAAACCATGCAGTGAATTACACTGAGTAGTTCTTCAATCTTAAACACGACTATTACATAATCCCACCCTACTTTAAACCCCTCCTTTTATTTATTTATTCCCCTCTCTTGTCACAATGATATAACAATCATGTGCCATTGCATTCAAATGCATCTTACGAAGTTTTAATGTTTAACTTTGAATATCACACTCCCTTTGAGAGAAGTATTAGAGTAATTTCATTACAACCCAGCCTTACACTTCCCATTAATTACATCGCTGTGCCAGCTCTGGGCTTGGCGTATGGCTTTTCCACGCTGGACCACAGAACACTTGGCACTGTCACACAGCTCGGCACTGCACACGCAAGACCATCTCAATGGTTACTGAGCTGCGGCACACAGGTCACACCGTAAACCAAGAATAAAAGCTGAACCCCTTCACCTCTGCTCGGCGTGCTGGTAGCGCAGACAGCAGCTCCTCTCGGGGTGGGAAGAGCCCTGGGACCACGGCTGTGGAGGCTGCTGAGGGCTCCCCTCAGAGCTTCTCGCCTCGCCGGCCTCGCGCCTCCGCCCGCGGGCGCGTGACGCAGCAGCCCGCGCGCACGAGGCGGCCGTGCCGGGCCCCGCGGGCTCCGTGGGCAGAGCGAGCCCTCACGGCCCCCACTACCGCCGGCCGTGCCGGGCCCCACGGGCAGAGCGGGCAGAGCGAGCCCTCGCGGCCCCCGCTACCGCCGGCCCGTGTCACGACCCGCCACGTCCCGGCCAAAGCTGCTGCTCGCGCACTTTCCGGTGACAGAGCTAAAGACAAAACTTCGCAGGCAGTGTCGGGTCATCCTCGGCACCGCTCGGTGGGCAGCGCCCGCGCCCCGCTTCCCCCGTCCTCACCGGAGGCGTGAAACAAATCGCCCGTCCAGCCGAGATTCGGGAAGGCAGAGGATGTGCTTCAGCACGAACTAGTTTTGCAAAACACGAAACACAGCCAGTTTCGTACCATTTCTCCTCTAATCGTTTGAGAAAGCTGACACCTCAGGAGCCGGAGGTGCGTTCCCTGTGCCCGTGCAGCACCCACGTTCACACGAGAGATTATATGCTGGATTTAGCATTTGCTTTGTTCACTCGTTTGATTTATTTATTTCTGCTGAAGTGGTTTAACCTGATTAGGAAGCAGTAGGTGAGAAAGGGCCGTCCGCAGGTGAGCGCAAGGGGCTCAGCAGGGAGCCTCCCGCAGGACAGCCCCAGCGGAGCCACTCGGCGCCCGGCAGCCCATCCCGCTTCCTGGAAGGCTGCAGACACCCTCCGAACGGAGATCACCACGCCTTACTGCCCACAGCAGCACCTGTACGCATTTTAAATTTACATATATAAAGACGAATGTATATTTTCTTGTAACCAGGTCACAATTATTTATGAGAGTTACTAGTAATTCAGTGTGTTCTGGCGCTTTCATTACACAGTCAGAGAGATGTGTAGCAAGGTAAACGAAAGGGCATGAATTTATCATCCCATTTCAGAAGCAAACGAGAAAGATGGTTTTGCAAAAAGTAACAGTGAGTCAACGAAGGCACATACACGAAATTATACCCAGTTGTTCTCATCTGGTTATTTCTACTGATTCCAGCATTGATTCTTGAAGCTGAAGGCGTGAATGATCTTCGCAGTAATCAACCTAAGGCTGATGGCAGCAAGGCGACTGCGGAAAGTAAAACTGCTGTGCCCAGCACCAGGAACTTTCCGGCAAAAATGAAGCTATCAGTCGTGTTCTTCGGCTTCCTTTTGTGTCACAGTAAAGCATCACACAGCTGTTGGACAGTTTTACTCGAGGTGGTGTTCACTTGCTTAGCTAGATTTTGGGAAGTCGGGCTAGTTCCTATGAACTAGCCCGTAGGGGCTCACAATCACCAAGTGGCTAATTTTTCTGTAAATGCTTCCGGACTGGTGAAGAAAAACAAGCATCTGGTCTCAAAGCCAGCATACTCCTGAGCGTGAGGGAAGCTGAAGTTTGCTTCTGTCGTTTCTGAACGGGAAATGGTGTTAAACCTCGATTCGCTCACTGCAGTGTCGCACTTTAGTCGACCCTACAGTCACTGAAACGAAGTTGCTGATGGCCTGAGATGTCTAAGACCGAAGCCCAGAATCGCCTCAGAAAGATACTGAAGATCTAAGCCTGACTTCCTGGCTGCATTAGGAATCCGAGATGAGACCTGGAAAACTGTATTTTGGGGTCGTGTGTGTGCATAAAGCAAGGCGAACCCTTTTCTTTTTGCAGAAGGGAGCAGGCTTCCCCGTTGTGCAACGCAGGGGTCCCCAGCGGTGCAGGATGCTGCCTGATGCGAATCCCGTTGCCGTTCTCGTGGCGGATCCACCCCGAGTTAGCACCTGAGCACCGGCACGCAGACGAGGAGGATTAGGGCAATCTCTCCCCACTTTGCCTGACTCCGCTCCGCTTTCGCCTTAGTTTGAATCGCAGTCAAGCAACAGTGGCCGGGAAGGGGTGGGG